GGCCACTGCAAGATAACGTCAGGACCTTACAATATTATATAAATATATAATATACAAATATATATTATATAATATATACAATATAAATAACAGCACTCACACTCACGCTGAACATTTCAGTTTACTCAGGATTTACTGCCTCAGAAGATTCATGGACAAAACTGTGTAATTTTAGTGTCTTTTGCTGTAGATATTTTTTTTAGATGTACTGTCTTTTGTACAAACCCTGTCAATACATGTTGATAAATATAAAGGATAGACATGTATGTTATTAATCAAAAATTATTTAAATTAATTAGAAAATTAAGAAAAATATAAAAACATTGAATTGAAATGAAATGAACAAAGTATGTTGTTTTAATAAACTTGTATAGATTTAGTAAATAAATATATATCATAAACAAATATGGTTGCAACATGATATACAATATACATATAAAAATTCATCATATGCTATAGATATTTCTAATAAATGTACATATACAAAGTTTTACCATGGGTATTTCATATGTATATACATGATATATATCTATATATATATATATATATTTATATACTTATATCTTAATTTATCCAGTCTTTATATATATCATAATAATATATCCCTTTATAGGTAACACATCACAACATCACTCTTGACATAGGGACGTATATATTACATGTCTGTATGGTTAATCATCTTTTAGAGAAACTGATGGTTACCTCTGTGACACAGACTGAGACTTGTCAAATTACCACCAAAATATAAAGTGTTACTGCAGACAGATGGAGTTTTGATTCTAACTTAAGAAACTTAAATCTTAATTCAGACTAGTTTGAGAGATGTCCTGCTAACACACATGTAGCATAAAGAGACAAACGGCACCAAAAACACAACCTCCAAACCAGGACACTGAGGTAGAGAGATAAACTAAAGACACGCTGCTGAAATAAAAAATAAACTGAACACATTAAACCTTTGATGGTGATCAGATCAGAGGACGATATGTAAGAGAGAAAATGTCTGATAGAAATGTTCTCAGTTTGTCCTCTGTGCTCTGCGGCAGCAGGACGTGTGTTTCCATTCAGACTGTGAAGGCCTGCAGGCGTCGAGTCAAACCTCCAGAGTCTGGTTCTAATAGACCGCCACCTCGTTCCACATCACTGAACGACCCACGAGCAGCTGGATACTAACACACTGTTCAGAATGTGGGACAAACACTGCCACCGCGACCAGAGCAGCTCTGAACACTGCAGCAGCCCGACATGAGTTATTATACACACGACTTAAAGGAGCATACCGCTGCTTTCACATGTCTGAGCACATTAATAACACACAGACGATTAATAAGTTAACAAAAACAATAAGTTAATAACAACAATTCTGACAGTTCACTGTTTGTTTAAATAAAGTTATAGATCAAAAACGTGAACAGATTTTCAAACGTGCAGATTTCCTGGTTTTCTGTTTTAAATCAGAGTAAATATATTTGGCTTTTGGACTGTTGGTCGGACAAAACAAGACGCTCATTTGTTGACATTTTCTAGACTTTAAGCTTTAACCAGTTTTTTCCCAGATCAGATTTATTCCACTGTATTATAAATTATTTCTTTTTTAAACATTAAACATCAAACATGACATTATTCTTATTATAATAGATGAAACAGATGACTGTTGATGCATTCAAGGATGCTCTGACATCTGTGATTTAAGAGTTGGCTGCTGAAAGCTTAAGAATCAACCAAAGTTACAGTTCACGTTTGCTTATTTGTTGTTTTCTGGATTAAATTTTCCTGATGAATTTAAGTCAGTTCTCAGATGTCAGAGAGTCTTTTATCTTAATATCAAAAACGAAGGATATTTGGACTTTTTGTTACATTACACACATTTGTGCAAAGTCATTTACAATAAGCGTCCATAGAAACCAAGAAGTCAAGACCAAAATGACATCAAAAATTAATGTATATAATGTGTTCAGTTCAAGTGGTCAGATCTTTTTATTATTTATTATTTTCAAATGTGTCATATGAAAAGAAGTAGACATTAACTAAATGAACCCGATTGAGACAACGCAGATTTAAAATACTGTGTCCGATCTTTTATTGTCAGTTTAGTCTCTCTGTTTTTAAGTACATATTTAACTACCTACATGTTTTTATTTGTTTTTTGTATTTTTTTAATTGTGTTTTATACTGTTGATCTTGGTTTACTTGCATCACCAATTATTATCTCCACCAAGGAGGTTATGTTTTCACTCTGTCTGTTTGTCTGTTTGTCAGCAGGTCTGCACAAAAAGCACTGAACCGATTTGCATTTTCTCAAATTTGGTGGGGCAGAACCCATTAAATTCTGGGGCAGATCCGGATCACTTACTATGAATTAGATTTTTTTTTTCTCCGCAGTCTGGTGTGTGTTGTTTGACACTGGCCTTGGCAGAGGCCTGCACTCTCTGAGTGCCTTTACTATCAGCCATTTTAATCAGGCTGCAATGTTTCACGTTTTTACTGGCTGCAGCAGCTCCTGAGTAACACTGACGTGTTTTTTGTATGGAGTCTGGAGTGTGCCACCACAATTATTATTTTCAACAATGAGCAATTAATGAACTGATGCATTTATAAAGCACAAATTAATAAATTGTTCTTTTAAATTATGTATTAAAAATAACAAAAGAGTCCATCAGAGCTCATGCAGGAACTCTGTGGCTTGGTTAATGCAACCTTTACATGTAACTTTAACTGAACAATTTAAAATTGTTTCTTTAAGTATATCAGTTTTTTTTATGGATCATAAACAAACACAGAAAATTGCTATAATTAGTCTGGAGGCACACTTTAGACTCCATACTTGGACTGTTTTATTCTTCTTTTGTTTTTGTGCATGTTTTATCTAGTTTTATTTATTTCTATTTCATTTTTCATTTATTTCAGTGTTTTTCAACCTAGAGTCAGGGCCTCCCCATAATGTGTCAAGATAAATCTTAAGAGGTACAGGATTGTTAAAGGGATGAGAAATATACATACACAAAATAATATCTTTTTTTTTTTTTTTTACAACTTTAATCAAATATTTGCGTGTGTTTCCACATCTTTAGGCCAGAAAACACTCCTCAGATGTGACAACCTGAGAAGGTAAAGTCACTCTTTGCTTGAATTGGTCATAACTAATAACTGTCCATAACCTGAAATATTGTCACAGGTAAAAATGTCTTCATTTTACGGGGCCACAAGTCAAAAACATTGGGAACTGTTGTTTTATCTGCCCACAGTACAGAACCTCCATTAGAAATCTGCCCACATTTAACCTACAGTAAGTCCTGGTTTGCCGTTCATGATGATGTCATAGCTCTGCATCTCTGGTGGGAAACTGAGTCGTCTCAACTGTGTTTTTATTTGTTATGAGTTTTTATATCAACACAACAACATTAATTAAGTGTGATGATGGTTGAAATGACGCCAACAGCGTCTTAAATGTTGTATTTTCCCATAGAGGAGCTGGTCGGTGAAACCGAGGGAGAAAATGTGTGTTTATTGTTTCCAGTTTGGTGGAAGCAGCTCGTGTCTGTGCAGGTCTGAGGCTGATAAGACAGAGACTGGAGGATTATGGTAATAACAGGCTGCCACTGACTGACTGCTGGGTCCCATCACTACAGAATGGGTGGGTGGGCTGCGGACGCTTATCACTGTGTTGCAGTGGGCGATTCTTCACACAGTCACATGATGGGCGACACCTTGATTCACACTGCAGCCGGACAAAGAACAGCTCAGCGGTTTTATCACCAAACGAAGACGAAATGACGAACCGATGGTGCATGTTGATTGTTTTAAAAGCACGAATGATCCTGTCAGTCGTCTGAAAGCGAAATGCTCTGACCAGCAGATATTATCAGTAATAATCGGTAATGAGCTTTTACCTTCATGCTTATTGTCATTTTCAAGAGGTAGTGCTGCATTTTACAAATGCTCATAAAACTCTCTCAGTGGCTGTATTTCAGCAATCCAGGGCACAAAAACTAAATCTAACCAGTGTCATCCAAAGAAAAGGATTAAAACAATAATTTTCAGGTAAACGGCTGCTTTCATGTGGTCAAAAGCGACAAAGAAAACCATTTCTGCGGTGTTGTGAGAGTGTCGTACTCCGCCATCAACTCATCAGATAAGAACGCTGCTCTGCGGCTCCTTCAGCAGAGCCGGTGACCTTCAGGTTAGAAACAAAAACCTGTTTCCTGAACCAGACTCCGGTCAGTTTTGTTTGTATGAAGGTTTCTTCCATTCACAATGAAATTGCAGGGGGAAAAAAAAAAAAGAAAGAAAGAATGCATGGTGCATCTTTTCCAGGATGCAGAATGGGATGAAACTGTATGTACAGTTGCCAAGGAGACGGCAGGCAGAGGGGTAGTTAGAGGCTGTTAACCCACACACCCTGTGTTTTCATTCACACTGCTTCTCTCTGCTCCGTCCTCAGGAATCACTTCAAGAGACGCTGCCGAAGACACAACACAGGTAAGGCTCCAGTTTTCATACAACTTCACTGACAATTCATTTCTCCTCTTGCAGCAGATGTGCAACTCCATTAAGAGATTAGGGTTGAGTGATGAAATGAGATGAGATAACTTCACTGTGACAGAGCTTTAGTTTTGGCTCTGCAGTCATGTTTCTTGCAGTGGAAAAAAAAGCTCAGGAGGAGTGGAGCCCAGGGACGCTGCAGCTTTAAATGGACATAATTGAGTGTCAATGATCACCACATCAGCTGCAGAGTAACTAATGCAGGCAATCATCGAGCGCACACATGCCCCCCCCCCCCCCCCCCCCCAAAAACAGAAATCAAAAAACCTAGAGAGAAAAAGGCATTCCCATCAGCAGCCTCAGCTGTGCGTCCGTCACGCTCCCATGCTCACTTCAATTCTCATTTCTCCTCTGGTTGCAGCCCGCTGGAGCCTGTGTTGAGGAATTATCTGCTGTCAGGACCTGCCCGGGACGCCACAGTGCCAACAGGGACCGGAGCTGGACGGGGGGGCTGAGCCATGCTGTCTACCGCCGTTCAGATCCTGGCGTTCGCTCTGGCGCTCCTGGGCGTCCTCGGTGCCACTGTAGCCACTCTGCTACCCAACTGGAAGGTGAGCATCAACGTCTGGTCCAACATCATGACCCCCATCTCGCAGATGCAGGGTCTGTGGATGGACTGCGTCTGGTACAGCTCCGGCGTCTTCAGCTGCACCATGAAGAACTCGGTGCTGTCGCTGCCGGCTTATCTGCAGACCACACGGGCCGCTATGGTTCTGTCCTGCATGGTGGCAGCGTTTGGACTATGCCTCGCCTCGCTGGGGCTCAAATGTACCCGCTGGGGGGGCAGCCACCGAGCGAAGGGGCATACAGCCATCGCTGCAGGGGGCTGCTTCATCCTGGCCAGCTTCCTCTGCCTGGTCCCTGCGTCCTGGTTCACCAATGAAGTCATCACCGCCTTCCTGACCACGGACCTGCCGGACAGCAGTAAATATCAGCCTGGAGGAGCTCTATGTGTGACGTTTATCTCGGCTGGCTTCCTCCTGGCTGGAGGGGTCATTTTTTGTTTGTCATGTCCTGGAAAAAGAACAAGACGACCGGACTACACTTCCTCCAGCAACCCTGACAGACCTGTACTGTACCACGATGGGCAGCGGAGACGGGAGCTGCGGACGGAGCGAGAACAGCCAAAAAAAAGACAAAACAAAACTGTCCAGCTGCAGATGAAATGCAAAGTGAAGCAGGAGAAAGCTCTGCAGGAGAAACCTGAAAAGGACCAGGAGCAGAGGCTCTACTCGTCTCCTTCCAAACTCCCTCAAAAAGACATCAAGGACAGCTACAGCCTCCAGGAATATGTTTAATCCTCATGGCCGAGCGGTGAAATGTGGAGTTTTCAGCTGAGATTTTCTGGCTCATGGGAAGGGGGAGGTTGGCTGGGGGAGGTGTGTTTGAGGGGGAATAATTACCAAATGTTGGGAGCGACAGATTGTGGATTCAGCCGAATGTCTCAAAAATGGAAAGACGGAAAGCAAAGAACATGGAAAAAAAAAAAAAAAAATCTGCACAGGCACCAAACAATGTAAATCCTTTAAAAACTGCCCGCAAAACTGCGGCAGCTTTCCCATACCAAAGGTCTGAAGGCAATATAAAAAAAAGAGCTGAACCTACTGATCATTAAAATAAATAAATAAATAAGAAACAGATCCAAGCTCTGACTGAAATTGAAAAGCCATCATTTTCCAGCTGTAGATGCTGTCTGCCTTCTGAGATGAACTCATGCTCATGCAGGGCCGGCCCAAAGCTTTCTGGGACCGTGAGCAAGATCTAAACTACCAGCCCCCCACCCCCAACCACACAAACGTAATGGCAAGAAATTATGGTTACGATTTAAAACAATTGCTCAATAATGTGAATAAATAAAAACATGGTAAATATTTAAGAAACTGAACAAAAAGCAGAGGATATTACAACTTATTTGTACACTTTTATAATTTTCTTAAAGCACTCAAAAATAGTTTAGAGCACGGAGGTTCATACATGAAGGTGGAAACATATTTGTGATAAAATATTCTAGACATTAACTTGTGCTATTAATTCCATTTACTGAAGAGGGACCATGATCAAAAACTGTGGCACCAGCGATTCGAAAATATTTACACCCAGTAACTGCCAGATGAAACTGTTATCTAACCAACTGAACCAACAAAACAAACTTTATACACTTTATACATGGACTGTTTAGACTGAGGAATAGAGGAGGACATGTGATAATGATGTAAGCTAGGAAGAATAACTTCAGTCTATTTGACTACATGGCATCAGTTACGTTGGCGTAATTAGATATCTCAGTCCCATTGTTTGAAACTAGCTAGCAGTTAAGCTTAGGAAGGACTTTACACGCATAGTGATGGTGCAACCCAGTCAAATGTTTTTTCAGTTTGTTTTTAAGTTTATTCAATAAACTTTTATATTTTAAGTAACGAGAAATAATTGCTTATTCATCACTAGCCAAAATGGTACAATAGAAAATCTAATATACATATATAAAAATGATGTGAAAGATAAAGCATTAAAACATTAAAACCTAAATAATAAAAAAAAAGAGGTTAATTTTAAAAAGTTCAGTAAGACCAGCGATTTACTTGCTTTCAACTACACCTGCACATGATGGCTGCCTCACATATCCTGCGTCTGTTTGTGCGTTGGTTGTGCATGCACGTTAATGCTACACATTTACAAGATGCAATATTCACATGAGCGGTATGGGGCAGTGTAGGTGCAACAATGGCAGAAAGTAAGAAAGATAACCTAATAGACCGAGTCCACAATTACCCGTATGTGCACAATGTGAGCTAGCTACGACACGCTTGTCCAAATAAGTGCTGACAGATCAGTACCATCTTAGAAGTTGACATGGAAACCTGCAAACAGAAACAAGCCAGAGATCAACAGGTTCATGGTGTGTTTGTCCACCAATCATGACTCGCCTGAGCTAGCTACGCATTTTTGCCAGTCACCGGTCAGCTGAGACCAATTTTCCACAAAATAAAAAGTCTGGGTCGCCAGGTTTATGCAAATCCTGTAGGTGTATTGGGTCTGACCTCTCAGGTGTGCCCTCTAGAGGTATCCTCCAGTAACACACAGAGTACATAGGTGAACAATTACGCTCATGACGCAGCCAGTTGTCTACGCAAACCTGTGGTTGAAAGCAAGTATATCTGCAGGTTAAGATGTTTGGTTCACTGCTGGTTAGTGCTAAAATAAAATCCTAAATATCTTTGAGCATAGAATCCCAAGTAGAAATCACATAACTCACCATCTTACGTTTTATCATATACTCCCTGATTTTGTTATTACACAAGTAAATTTCCTTCTGCTACAGTTTTGTTCAGCGGAACAACAAAACCTTGAAGTGCGTCTTAAATTATGATAAAAATGATCGGGGGAAACCAAATGAGAGTTCACATTCTCAGCTCGTTGGAGACTTCTGTCGGTCGTGTCTGCCTTGGGCCGGCTCTGAAATCAACTGTGAATTTTGGAAAACCTTTTTGAGCGTCTGTGCATGATGTCCGTGCTTTAGACGCCGCTTACAGCTTACATGTAGTGAAAGCTGCTGCTGTACAGATTGTGCCGAAAGCAATAAAAACATTGTTGAGCTTTTTAAATTCACAGTGTAGTCGGAGACTAAAGGGAATCCTGATCCAAAGTGTCAGAATGACGGCGTCCGCTCCGTCTCTTCCTGACAGTCCATGGAGAGGCGAGAGGTGCAGAGCAGCATGGAGAGAGGTAATGATGCTCTTTGCTTTCCCATTATCCTCTCACCATGGTTGGATGCACACTGCACACTTACACACACCCCTCCACCACCCTGTTTCAGCTGTATGAAAAGGACATCGAGTCATTTTCAGGATGTGACTTAAAGCCTAATGGAGACTGGAGAGTCCATAGCATTGTGTGCATTTGGCGGGCGAAGTGTCCTTTGAACCTGAGGTGAGCTGTCAATCTCACCTGCCAACGCTTGCTGGAATTAAAGACACTGGTGAACTGAACGCCCACACTGCCTCTCAGGAAAAGCTTCAAACCTGGAAAAAAAAAAAAAAATTGATTTATAGAAGAAAATCATGTCGATTCATCAGCACTGTGGCGATGTTTCACTGTCAAACGTGACAGTGACGTGTTAATGTAGGGAACAGGACACATTCAAGCACAAGCTACTAGAAAACTCAAATGATTTGGAAAAAAATCAAAGCACAGCTTGAAGACAAAAAAAGGCGTCATCAGAATAATTTATGTGCTTCTGTAGCTCAGTGTTGCTGTTTTTGCTGCTTATGGACTCAAAGCTTAAAAAAACATGTTTTCATTCTGGAAAATGTTAACGATAAGCAAGGTCACAGCCTTTTCTCAACCCAAAGCCCGAGCACTCGAATGTTTTTTAAGGTACAACAGCTTAATTTGCCTAATATTCTATTTCCTGCATTGTTATATCTAAGTTACATGAAAAGACAAAACAAAACAGGTCACATATCATCATTTATGTCATTTGATAAAAAATGGCTATGCCTTTATGCTGATGTGTGAAAATCTGAGAATCCACATTAAACTTAAAAACACAGACACCATGTGTTATTGACCTTGACATACATTTTTACTGTGTTGTTTGTTTCCTTTTAGCCTGTCTTTATCAGCTCCTTTAAAAGAAAAGAAAAAGAAGTATTTTGAGCTAGAGAAGTGAAAAATGCTGTATTCAGTACATTCCTTCAGTTACTGGTCTCACATAGCCAGACACACCTCCACAGTGCTGCGTCAGTGCTGAAGTGGTCTGGTTGCAACCGTTATCATTCTGCCCCCGAAGGGGGGGGGGCTCTGGCTTGTTTCTACCAATCAGCATCGCTGAGCCCAGGACGCAGTGAGGGTGGCCTTCCTTGCAATGGTGTCACGGGGAGCATTTGCATGGTGGGGAGGTGACCACTGTCATTTAAATGGCAAATTCCCTGCAAAAGTAAAAGGCACAAAAATGTGTAACACGGGTTTTACTGATAATCGTTGCACTAGAGGTGAAGTCTGCCTTTACTTTAGGTCACTGGTCTCGTTAAAACCACAGACAATTTGCTTCCTGTATGCAGCTTTCGGTCTTGCAGAAATGTATTAAACTGGTATCACAGAAGCTCATGTGAACTGAATGGTACTTTGGTAAAGTCAATGTCAACAATGCCACTGCCAGAGAAACACTAGAATTACTGCCTCGTGGTTGTACATCTCCCCCACCCAGTCAAGTTGCAGCTAACATCCATGTCTGTCCAGAGAAGACTTTGAAGGAATTTAAGAAAAGGTATTTATCAATGTGACCTTGACCTTTGACCACCAAAATCTAATCAATTCAGCCTTGAGTCCAAGGTTGTGTCCGAAATCACTCAGTCATTCACTGCTCCCTGCTCACTATCCAGGGATGCGAAGGCTGAACTGAAATGAGACGGTCTGGTTCACGGACAGAGTCAGCAGCTGTGCCCGCACTTACTGTCGCCTCGCAAAGCGTTGCTCCTGTCGCCTAGCAACCTTGACAACACGTAGCTTTTTCTCCGCAAAAACTTGAAGACCCTTGGTTTTAACAGTTGGACCGTTAGCTGTTGAACTGAGCTGAAACACAAAACTTGCAATTACAAGTATAATCCTCGGGTTCTCTGTCAGTGTTGTTTGCTGTCATTACTGGCATGTGATGAATCTTGTGATTGGTTGGGCAAAAAAGGATCCACTCATCGTAATCCTTCATTGCCCAGGAAAAGAAGGAAGCACTTCTCTGCCACATTTGACAGAGCCTTCGAAATAGGTCAGCCTAGTCGTGCCACTAATCCGTCTTCAAGGACAGCTATTACTAAATGGTGAATGGCGTTCCTGAGATGTCACGTTCACAAGAATGGGACATACGAAAAGACGTACTTGTGCGCGAACAATCCGAAAACAAAAACGCCTTAGGCCACAGCTGTTGCCGGTGCGGAGACATAAATGTGGAAAATCACCTCTGACACAGACCAACATCAGGCATCAGAATCCTGCAAGACAGTGTGGGGGTCTTCCGAGCTGAGCTCACAAGTTGCTTTGGTCTGCGACTGTAGTAAAATCAGATTCGATTCAACAACTAGTTTGGAGGCTGTTGTTGTTGTTTCCTGTTGCCAAGTAGATTTTGAAAACAGTAACATGCACACAGTGGAAAAAATCCCACGTGAAATTTGCAGCCAAAGGTAGGATTGTACCAACAGTCTGCATCTAGTGAGTTTAGACTATTTTGTTACATGAATGTATCCTAGCTCCTCTTCAGCAATAAGGTTTCTGAATGCAATAAAGTATGTGAGAGAACAGACTGTGAAACCCATTTTAAAACAATTAAAACATTCATCAATCTGTTGATCAATTGATATTGAATGATTATTGATCTTTTTTAATCTAGCTTGTATTACGTTCTGAGATGAAAATTTTCTGCTTTTCACTGGTTTATATCATTATAAAATGAATGTCTTTGGGTTTTGGATGTTTAAAAGTGACACTGGGCTCTGGAGACCGTGATGCGCATTTTTCACTATTTGTTAATCAAATAATCAAGGGATTTATCAGCAAATAAATCAATTAAGAAAATAATAATGAATTGCCTTAATGCCTGTAACACCAAATATCACTTTTGTTTGTGGCAGAATATGTTGGTTATACCATTACAACACTTACAAATATTTGAAAAGAATAAGGCCACATTTGCAGTTGTTTTAAAATTTTAAAAATAAATCATGGAGTTGATTCAGAACAGCTGAGAATCATGTGACTAATAAAATAATCACTTGTCTTTCTCTGCTAATAATTAAAAACATACCTGGACTGAAAACTTCACTGGGCTCCCATGATTTATTAGATTTATCTTGCATTTAGTGGCTGTAACTGGTCAAATTAAAACAAGCAAAGATGAAGTCATTACATCAGACACAGTTGTGTTTGTGTGCACCTAATAAACGCTCAGTATGTAGTTCAATACGTGCTGTTATTTTAGTTGATTATCTGATTTAGCTGATTCGTGCTTTCATTTCCACATGGTCAAGAAACGAGAAGCTGTAAATAATGGGTCCAAAAGTCTGAGAGCACTTTCACAAGGAGCTGCATGATATGCAAAACAAAAAATATATATTGCATTTATTGTGGCAGATATTGCGATTGCAAGTTGGAATTCAGTTAGAATAGTCGTTTTTGCATTTCATTTTCAATGAAAAAAAGCATAAAATTGATGATGTTATTTTTGTTGGTCTTATACCAAACAAACATGTTCCTTGTCATCTGGAGAATGTGATTTGTATCTGTAGCACCACAACACTTATGCAATGCTAACAATGCACAACAATGTGACACATTTTACCTTTATCAAAAGAAAATTGCTGTGATTTGGATATTGCACTTTGCCATATTGCAATTTTGCTTATATTTCAATTAAATGTGCAGCCCTCCTTTCACATTCAAGCGAATGGTAAAAGGTTGAGGCACAAAAACCTCTTGGTTAGGGTTAGGATTCTTTCTGCCAGAAAGAATGTGGATGAGGTGATAGCTTTTGTGCATCAGGAACTACAACACAGTGCAAGAGCATTGCTGGTTACATCTATGGACAATTCAATGAGAACTGTGGTTCAGCAGGACACATGTTCCATATACTGTTGTACCTCTTCAGTTATCTCAGAGAATATCCAGGTTATTTTCTCATAAATTTACAACTTTAAGCTCTGAATAGTACCCTCATCCCTCTGTATTTATTTCTTTATTTACTTTCTTACTTACGTATTTATTATCAATACCCCTCACTGAAGGCAGTTACTTCTTTATTTACGACTGTAGGATACTTCATTTTCTGAACAATCATTATAGTTAATACACAACTGCAGTAATATTACACTGAAAACAAATCTAGTCACATTAGGGCACAATAATTCCTACCTGGATACTGATAAAATACTGCACTCCTCCTGATGGAATTTGCTCTTTTTAAAGAGGGCCTAGTTACTTCCATGGGACAAATGACCCTGTTCTATTTGACTTTTACCTTAACCATCTCCACAGTCAGTCCACAGTGTGATAAACAGCTGTAGTAAATTGTCTGGCTGCTCCATCCAGGGCCTCTCCTCTACCTCTTACCAATATCATTATGATGTTGAGATCGGGGTGTTAACCCTTTAAATGTACATCTCAATCTATCTGACAGGAATCTATGTCGTTGAATCTGAAATATGCAACTTGATCCAAGTTTAAAAAGAGGATTTAGAGTGATAAGACTAGCAGAATAATAAAATGAATTTGTAGCCTCAATGTGAACTGCAACATAATATAAAAAAAATGGTGATGCCCTATAAACATAATGCAAACAAGTAAAACAGGAAAAAAACAACTGATGAAATGTGCCATGTCTTAGTGTTGAAAGAGTCACAGGAACAGAAAAACAAACACTCATCAGTCTGCTGAAAATGAAACTGCTGTGTGGTCGGAGAGAATTAAGGTATGCTTCACGTAAGTCATGAATATGATCAAAATGAAACTTAAAGTGGGAAGGAGAGAGTGGGAAGATAATTTCATAATGAATATAAATGACATGATTTTTTTCTGCTGCTAACGGTTTACATTCCTAGGATCAGTCCACTGTCAGCACACACACAAGGTAGGACGGTGTTATGATGTCTGGGGTTAGATTTATGGTTGAGTTTGTTTATGCTCGTAAAACTGATTAAAGAAGAGTAACTAGGACTATTGACAGTAAACATACAAGACTGAGTGTTTTCAGAGGGATTTAGTTACTGTTAGGAGATTTAGCTTTAGCTGTTCTGTTTGTACAGCAATTTGAATCATAAATAAAAATATTTGCTAAAATGACTGTATTTATTTTAAACCTTCAAAGTAATATAATATTAAATGTATTTGTCAGTTTACTTTACTACACTTCTACAACCAGGTGTTTGGTTAAAGACAGAAGCAAAATCATTTCTTTACACATATATATATATATATTTGACTGTATTTATCATAAACTTACAGTGTAATATAACATTAGAAAGGTATTGGTCAGTTGCTTTATACCTTTAGTACAGAGGTGTGTGGTCAGCTTAGTTTAAGACTGAAAGAAAGTGATTTAATTTAACAGCTCAATGTAAATGGTTTACTTTCCAGCAATGGGAGAAACGCAGTCTAAACCTGCTGAAGATGTAAAGCCGGAGTCGCCATGTAAGTTTGGCCTCGGGCCAATTTTATTCTAATCCAGTAGATGGCGGGACAGAACATAATCAAGGCCAATTTAAGAAATTGATTATAAAAATGCATGTGGAATTTACTTTGCGACTGTTCATATGTGTGGGGCTGTGACTGTTTGTGTCGGTCATTCACATTCTAATGAAATGTGGGACTGTCAGTCCAATATTGTAAGATTTAAAAAATCATATTATCGAAAATAACCAGTTGCTGACCACTGATCTAAACCATTCATTGAATGTCAACATTATTTCTCAACATTTGTCTTCTGCCTGTCAGTTCTAGATAAAGCATGGAGGGAAATAAACTGGAGGTGAGTGTGTTTGCATCCTGAATGTAAAATTTTGAAACATCTGTAACAGACAACTGAAAAAGCACAAACTCATTTATTTTTCTGTCTCATTTCCTCTCTCAGTAACATCCCAATTAACTACTCAGTTGCAATGTGTTTTTGTTTTTTTTTCTAAAGTGTGATGTAATGTTTCCTCAGCGGAGACAAATACACAGATCTGCAGTTTGTGAACGACTACAATCCTCAGACTGAAGGTCAGCAGCTCAGGATTCTTCTTCATGGGCTGAGTGGAGCTGGAAAGTCCAGTTTCATCAACTCTGTCCACAGTGTCTTAAAAGGCAGAATAAGCGCACTGGCTTTGGTGGACGGCATTGCTCATAGCTCTTTCACCAAACAGGTATTAAAGTTTGGTAGTGTTGATATAGTGAGTTGGAAATGTTAATATAATTATTAAGCTCACATTGTTAACTTTTAAACTTTCCAAACTACATTGTATGACAGCATATTAGATCCATTATAGGTTAAAAAAATTACAATCACCTCCTTGCGGTTGTCTGGATCCACCACTCAGACTAGTTTCAGATTACATCCCTGTTTATCCAGTCATTTAAAATATGAGCCATTTGTGTGAAGTTTTGTCATAATTGCCGTGTGAGGTCTTGAGTTATGACTTAAAACTGTTTTGTGAGGTCACCTTTGACCTTTGACCTTTGACCACCAAAATCACTCAAGTTCATCCTTGAGTCCAAGTGAATGTTTGTGCCAAATATAAAGAAGTTCCATCATGGCGATACTGAGATATTGTGTCCACAAGAATGGGATGTACAGATGTATGGATGGATGTACAGCCATACGGACAAACGACTTGAAAACAATATGCCTTTGGCTCTGGCTATCAGCGGCACAGGGGCAAAAAACATCAGAATTCCAACATTAAAGACGTAAATTTATGATAAAAATCAAAAACTTGGATATACGCTGAGATTTAAGTCACAAACTAAAAAGACAGAAAAAAATGAACAAATCTCTATTGTTAGTCTTAATGAGCAGTTTGTAATAGTTTGTAAATGTTATCACTCGGACTGTGAACACTGGTATTTCGCAAACAGCCTTTACACTACGACTTTATCTGGTGGCCTACTTTTAGCATGTGGTACAGTATTTATTATATCCCAGTGTCTACATATTACCCATCCTTTCATACTATGCCTCCTGGCTGGTGGTGATAAACTGGACAAAGATACTCTAATAAAGGATCATAAGGCATCACAAACTGTAGTGTTACCTTATTGTCAGTAACTTTATTATAGAGGTGAAATTGGCAATAACAAGCTAGCTCACGTTACACTCCACTCCACTCCATTACGTTAACACCAAATGTTTATAACCACATCTGGATGGCTAGCATTAGCTTAATCAAAACAACTCATCCTTATCAGCCTAATTAATAGTCCCAAGCTTGACATATTCCCATAAACCAATTAAGGTTATCAGCACTTACTGTAAGAGAGTTGCACCTTTAACCCCACCCCTGTTCTGCTCACAGTTTAAGATGTTCAGTTGAATAAATATAAAGTTCATGTAGCTCCAAACAGAAGCACTTGCAGCAACATAAGCTGAACTAAACCGACAGGCACCAGGCACAATAACAATTGTCCATGTGTTTTACAGTACACGACCTACAAGATCGAAAAGGGAAACCCAAACACCTTTTACCCCTTTGTCTTAAATGACATGATTGGTATGAAAAACGCCAATGACAGAGTCCATGTGAAAGATATCAAACGGGCGCTGAGGGGACATGTGAAAGACGGTTACACGGTAGAGTTTATGTATTTTTAAAACTATTTTAAAAAACTGTCATCTGTTTTCCATTATATCGATCTTAGTAATTGTCGTCATTTAACTATACCTGACTTTGTTTTCAGTTCAATCCTGTCTATAAGTTATCAAAGGAAGATCCGTACTACAACGAGTCCCCAACCATCAACAACAAAGTGCACATTCTGGTTTGTGTCATTGATGCCAGCACAGACGATCTGTGCGGGGAAAATGTTGCTGCGACACTACGGGATATCAGACTTGAAGCCAGTGAACTGGGTGAGAGCAGAAACCACCATTTTATTCTTTTCCACTCTGAGGTCACACTCCCCTCTTGCAGGTCTGGTCAGCCTGAGTATACTGTATTTTTAATGTAATTTGTTCACATTCAAGTTTTGTGTTTCCTTCCCGCAGGGATTCCTCAAGTGGCCGTTTTCACCAAAATTGATGAGGCCTTCCCCGAGATTAAACAAGATATAAGGAACATCTACAAAAGCAAAAAGCTAAAGGCAAAGGTATACTATTACTATTAATTCAATTAATTTGCACAAAGATGATGTATAATTTCATTCAAAGACATTTGCAGTATTTAAGCACAAAGCTGCGAGCTGTAATTCATGAACTGGGATGTTGTGATTTTTAAATGCAGATGCAGAAGTTCAGTGTAAACGTGGGTATTCCAATGAACTGCATCTTTGCTGTCCAGAACTACCATTCAGAAATGCACCTCCACAATGACATTGACACTCTAATCCTGAGCACTCTGAGACGCATCATCGCCTTTGGAGATGACTTCCTCAATAAACAAAATATGTGCTAAATGTTAAGACAGGTTTGCTGAAAGAACGTTGGCTGAATTTCATAAAACTATTGTGTGACAAAAGACCACAATCGCATTTGTGTTTTGTTTGCAGCTTTTTTTTCAAACAACTTTATTTTAAGTTTAAGTAGAGATCCAAATGTTTCCAGAAATGTCAACTTTGTGTAAATGTGTCAAATAGACTTTTTGGTTTTGCTGAACTGTCATATTTGTTCTTGTGAGTGTTTCATGTGCTTGGAAAAGAGATCTTAATCTTAACTAGAAAATTCCAGGGAAATTTTGAGTGCCACGGGGGCTATACTGCCGGGATGAGTACATGCACACCCGTCGCTATGGGCGGGCCATAGGGGGCCTGGCCCCCTATGGCCCCCCTTTAATTCTTATTTATATTATCATAGTAGCTAATTTTGTATTGAGAAATACTAATGTTGTATTCTTTATCATTAAAACATTAAAAATATAAAGAAACAATGGTGTGATTTTGTTTGATTGATGGGAATGTACACTGCAACAGCCTATCACGGCCTTACTGAAAAGAAAGTTACGCTATGTACGTGACGTAGCCTACGTCAATGTAGTCGCTCAACAGTAACCGCGCATTTATGAAAGTGAAGCTGGATGAGTTTTCACCGGCTTACTATTACATTTCTAGTTCATCATGGATATTTGTAAGTGGTTGAAAAGCCCACCAACAGTCTCCTCTGCCAAATCGGATACGACACCGACGCCTCCTGATGTCGTTGGAGAAGGAGACCCTGGACGACAGTCTGAGCCCGTTGCTAGTAGCTCCGTGGAGCCCCACCCTGGGCCTGGCAGGACCTGCAGCGGCCACGGAGCGGAGGCTACCAGCAGGACAAGTGCAACCGCGACTGGGGCAGTATTTGGGCCACAACTGCCTGTTGGATCAGTGGGTGTGAGTGACCTCGGCACGGACAAACCCAAACAGGTTGTGTTGAGGAAATATCCAGGCAAAATGTTAAAAACTTTAGGAGCTTCCACAGCAATGTGTGAAAACTCATTTTCCACGCTCAAAAGCGTCTTCTCAGAGCATCGGCGCAGTATGCTGCACAGACGCAAGGCCCAGCTGATTCAGCTTGCTTTTGAAAAGGACCTCACTCACAAGTTTAAGTCCGAGTGGAAGGATACGTTGATGAGGAGGTTCAGCTCAGAGAAACGCCACCTCCCGCTGTACTGACAGGAGGGACTGGAGAGAGGAAAGCGCTGCCTCCACCCAAAGTACCAGTAGGTTTAAAGTCTCTGTGCGTGTGTATGTGCGTGCGTGCGTGTGTCTGTGTCTAATGGCAATGCATATCCCTCTGTTGACTGCTTTAAAATGCAATGTTTGAGAGATGCTTCTGGTGTTACATCTAATATGTTATATAGTCAAGTGTTTTATGGATATTCATAACATTGCTTCTATGTAATGTATTGCTTTAAACTATGAGGACTGATGTTGTCGGCTATACCTGGTCATATTGCTGTTGGTTATGTTTAACGTGATGATTACGTGATGCGCGAATACAGTATAGGATTATTAAAAATATACGTATTGTAGGTTAATAATAATTGTGCCCTCCCATGCATTTCATATGCCCCCCTTAAGACAGAGGTCTGGCGACGGGTCTGAGTACATGATTTATTTCCAGTGTTCAAAAGTCACCCTGATCATATTCTGGTTTTGAGAAATGTCTTGATATAAAAGACTAATAAAACAATGTCACATCCCTCCATCATGTATTATGTGGGAAATATCTCATATTCTGTGTTGTTTTTTTTAATAAAACAAGAGGCAACATGTCTTCAAACTGGCATTTAAAGGGTTAAAATCCTGAAAACTAATAAACATTTGGTAGGTTTGAGCAGAACTGAAGTGGTTTAAGAGATTTATGGGAAAAAAAAGCAGAAAAAAATATTGATATATGATGATTTTATAGCATTTTCTTTGTGTGTCCTTTTTTGGACGTGAGGAACCCCAGAGGGTACAAAATGTGTTACCAGTGTATAATAGACCTGTAACAGTAACTGACATTAGATTTTAAAAATATGTCAAAAAAGACACTTTCTTGCAGAAATCCATACCTTCAGCTGTAACACAGCCAAAATGATCAGCAAATCAAAAAAGAAAAGTGAAGAAAATGTCCAAAAAAGGACAGAGGGACCCCTGAGGGTTAATAAATCCCATGAACCGCTATTTAAATTACCACTATTATGTTTTTTTCGGTGCTAAATTTAACATTACTGGGGAGGAGAGCAACGCGACTAGAAGTGACAGCGAGAGAGGGCTAGTAGCTTCTCCTCTCCTCTGTCTCAGCGGAGACCGTCACAACTTCATTCACTCATTTAACAAAACAAAAAGAAAAGCAACAAAGGAAGCAGTAAATGGACTTACATATTTAAGACCTAACTAAATGTAATTTAAGACCTAACATGCGGCTAATGTAAAGCTAGCGGAGCTTGGAGAGTTGGTTATCTGGTTGCTAGGCACGCACACACGCACACAGGTCAGGAGCTGCCGTTGCCATGGCAATGTGAAAATCTGCCCAGAATTTGGCTTCTACATGGCTTAAAACAATTGCAAATTATGAGAAAACCGTTACTTCTTTTCAAAAACCGAAAACACCGTGACAGACACTGAAGCCAGAAGTTTCTTACAGTCTCTATTTTATTCAGATATTCCTTAAAATGAGTGAGTAAGCTCAGTGCCAAGACAGAGTGAGATTCTTTTGAAAAAAAAAGACGATTACATTAGGTGTCAATGAGAGTGAGACCGGTATTGCTGCCGGACTCGGCACCCCCGTTTAAATTTTGTGCAGACCCTGCCTGTCAAAGTTACATTTTATGAATCCCAACAACTATGTCTACATTTTCAGAAAGAATTATTTGTCTCCTTTTTACGGTTTGGCTGTGAGCTCGAGTTAAAAATAAAAATAAAGGTTATTTTTTACTGCTTCACGCACTCTAGCCAACTGATGCTGTCACTCTAACTTTGAAGAAAAAGTGATTTGCACTCCTCCTTTGAGTGATTGAGTTTGAAAAGTTTACATGTTATGTAAAAACAGTTGTTGTCTTTTTGAGAGAGCAGAAGTTTTCCTCCGTTTTATAGTTTGAATCACATTTCTACGTGCAGGTATGAGAGAGCAGGGTGATTCAGAAAAAAGGTGAAATTTTGTGGGTTTCTAAAGAAAATTCCAATGCATTCCTAATGCATTATTTATTCCCAGTTTTTTGGGAATAACTGGGAAAAACTGGAATTTTAACACCAAAAGTCATAGCACCTCTTTCGGGATCAAGACGCACGTTTTGATGTATATATTACCGGGGTTTTCTCAAAGCTGCGGGACGAGTTACGCGCCAAAATTTGGCGGAAGAATAATAAACCCGAAAGAGAATATTAATAGATGCTCCACCCCCGAGGCACTCCTCTCAGCTATTCTGAGTGCCTCGGAGCTGAGCACCCGTGGCACTAATAAACATATAAAGATCAGCCAGATGGGGCTGTAGAGTCAGTGGCAAAGTTTGCACCCAGGCTCAGAGCACTTGATTTTCAGCGTTATATAGTTTACACTCACATCACATCTGATTACAAGTGTGAACATTAAAATATTATTTTTTACCTAACCATCATCATTTACGAGTCAGTAAAAGGCTTATGATAGGCAACCTGACTAGCGTCTTCTTCATCTGTTGTCTTTCTCTTCTTAGAGAAGTATCTGAACAAGTGTGGTATCTTGAGGTGCTGATGTGAAGAAGTGATCACCGCTGACACGTCTTTACTTGCAATCAAAAAGAAGTTTATTTACAAGAAAGAAACAGTGTCAAAAAATGCCGAATCCCGGAGCATCTCTGCCAATGTGAGATCTCTCTTCTAACATTTCACAAATCCCTCTATTTATCTGTCTTATCCCACCTTTGGAATGTGCACTTCTTCCAATAAGAAGAAGCCTCCACCCAAAGGTAAATAAGATCTGGTCTACAGCCTCTGGTCTCTAGCCTTTGGCTTTTTTAGGCCCACATAAAACCCCCACTCTCTTATACCATATTTACCAAAAAACCAATGGGTAAACAATTTTACCTCCTAAGGCACATTCCTTAAACTCAACTTACAATGAGTGGTTCAAGGTAACCTTCGACAAGGCCTTAGTTGACAACCTCCTTAAACTTTAGAATAAAACATACATAAAAGAAGAACATGCAACAGTTTAGTATTTTGAAATAAAAGGAAATGAAGTGGATAATACACTACACAAGCTCATCTGAAAATGCAGTCGGCAGTTAATACATAATGACGTGTAGATATTAGCTTAATGCTATCAATTAGTTTACCCAATTTAGCGTCACTGAGTTGGCTAATAAGTCTACCTTTTCTCCGGTAATTCGCTGCCTTATTCCTCACGGACTAACACTTCTCTGACTCTGACCTGGTACCTGACGTGATGTCACTTTCAAGGCCGCGCTCTCGCAAGTAATTAACTCCAATAGGATCCCCCAACCACCCACTCCCTCCCTCCCCTCCCCTCCCTCACTGTTGCGCTCATCATCACACAGGCTGTGCTGTGAAGGTGGAGAGATGTGGCGTGGTGCATTGGCAAAAAAAAAAAAAAAAAAAAAAAAAAGAAATTTGAAGGCGTGGCGGCTATGATTCAGCAGTGGCGGGCCGCCACTGCTAAATGAATGTAGAGGAAACACTGTACTCTGAACAGATATATTACCGCTGCCTAAAGAACAAGGTGTGTGAGGTCTTCTAAACTTATATTCTCTTCATAGCAGCCAGAATTCTTTCTTCTTTGGTGAATGAACAATCATATTCTCCCTTGCTTCATACAGTCAGTGATTTTAAAAAAGCACTCACCCACTTAATTTTTTTACATTGGTGGACAATCAGGAGTTATCAGTGCACAGAATCTATGATCCCTTTGAGAGGGTTTGAAACATTTGAACCTCTGAACGCTCAGTATCACGTCAAATTAGGATTAGTTGCCATTATGTTAGTTAGACAATATGGTGTTAAGAAGTTTTGCCAGGTGCTTCACGTAGCGGGATATGTGCAACCTGGTTGTGGGGTGCAGCAAGCTGTTAGGATCTGAGGCAGACCGATGAACCATGTCTGCATACTCCTGATCCACACGCTGCAGCATGTCCTTCTCCCCACGGTACTTCTGCAACAAGCCG